CTTATTTACACCTAGACTCTGCCTTTGCATTGCCCAAACCAGATTCAGATTGATTCTGTACTTCCAAAAATTAAACTTTCCTTCTAACATGAAAAACATGTCTTCTTTCTTCCCTTTTTCCTCTATGAATATTTTTATATGGCTAATTTACTAAGAAACTTTTCCCTGTTTTCTGTCAAAAATCTATACAGTTGATAATTGCTAAATTTGTAGATGGAAGAACTACTGCTTGTTAAGACAGTTCTCACAAAATGTCTTAATTAATCAATCATTAATTTATTATTAATTATAATTAATTGATGTATTAATAATTAATTAATTAACTATTCATTGTTTAAAAATATACTGCCTTGCAAATCCTGTGGCTGTGGGCAATGAGCCTATAGGTAATGAGCACACTTTGTGTTCAAAGAGAAGAAATAGAATGCAGTGACAGATTTAGATTCCCAAAGTATACTTAAGCATTTCTAAAACAAAACATTATAATGAACCGTCTTTTTCAGGAAAAAAAATTAAGGAGGCCAATTGTAGGAGAATGATGTGCAGTTTAAAAGGATCACCAGCTTTTCTGCAAAATGTCTTAAAGGTGAGGGGTTCCTATAGACACACAGGTAAATGCATTTAACTGTAAAGCACAATTATCACACTTTTCTTTGTTCTAAATTCCTTCAGTGTATGAACATTATAGGAATACCAAAATATTTATTTTCTGAACTGCATAGCCTTTATATTCCAAAGACCAGTAATATTTATATTTGTAACAATAATGGCTGTCCAGTTGTCATGGTTTGGCCCAACACCAGGCACCCATGGGAGTCACTCACTCACCCTCCCCTGCCACAGCTGGGCAGAGAAGAGGAAAAAAATGTTAACAAAGGCTTTGATGAGATAAGGACTGGAAAAAAACACTCTAAGGGCAAGACAGGCTCAACTTAGAGGTATGAAGTGAGCTTATTACTAACAGAATCAGAGAAGGATAATGAGAAGTAAAATAAGCCCTTAAAACACCTTCTCCCCCCAGCTCTCCCCTCCATCCCACCAACAGCACAGGGAGACAGGGCACAGGAGCTTGTGTCTGTTCATCACAGATATTTTCTGCTGCTGCTCTGGGAGAGGAGTCCTTCCCCTGTGAGGCTGTGGGGTCCCTAGCATGGAGACAGCTCTCCATGAACTTCTCCAGTGTGGGTCCACCGCACCTGCTGCAACGTGAACTCCCCCCACGGGCACATAGGCCTCCCAAAACTGCTGTGACGTGGGGCTCTCTTCCCATGGGGAAGGACAAGGACAGGCTGCTCCAGCCTGGAAGCAGGGCCCTCTCCCTCCACTGGATCTTCCACTGGGTCACAGCCTCCTCCAGGCATGGAGGGTGAATCTCTGCCTCCCCCGTGGATCCCCAGGGACTGTGGGTGAATCTCTGCATCCCCCGTGGATCCCCATGGGCTGTGGGTGAATCTCTGCATCCCCCGTGGATCCCCAGGGGCTGTGGGTGAATCTCTGCATCCCCCGTGGATCCCCAGGGGCTGTGGGTGAATCTCTGCATCCCCCGTGGATCCCCACGGGCTGTGGGTGGATCTCTGCATCCCCTGTGGATCCCCATGGGCTGTGGGTGGATCTCTGCATCCCCCTTGGATCCCCAGGGGCTGCAGGGGCACAGCTGCTTCACCCTGGTCTCACCATGGCCTGCAGAGGAATCTTGGCTCCAGCACCTGCAGCACCTCCTCCCCTTCCTGTGCCACTGACCATGGTGTTGCCATGTTGTTTGTTGCCATGTTCTCCCACATGTTCTCACCTCCTCCTCTTCTCTGACTAGGAAACAACTGTGAACAGTTTATTTTGATTTTCTTCTTAAATATGTAATCACAGATGTTACCACCCTTTGTAATTGGCCCTGTCTTGGCCAGCAGCATGTCCATCTTCAGAGCCATCAGGAATTGGCTCTGCTGGACATGGTGGAAGCTCCCAGCAGCTTCCCACAGGAGCAATTTTTGTGGCTCCCTACCACCAAAAGCCAGGCCGTGCAAAACCAATACACCATTCTAAGAGATGGAGAAAGCAGGTTACATGGGTGTACTGAAGAGGGAAATGAAAAGTATAAAAGCACATCAATAACTAAATCAGCTCTTTATATTTTACAATGATGATCAAGAGCACTCTAAACACAAAGCTGTGACTCTTTGTTAAATTCATTATTTTATCTTTCCTTCTATATTATGGTAAGTGCATGCACTCTGTACTCCAAGATGGCACTAGTCCTGTGTATGCTTACAAATTAGGTTGGCAGTCTTTTTTATTGGCTCTCATTTTCCTTTTCAAAATGCTCCATGCTAAATTTTCATGTCATATATTTGATATTTATCGGATTTTCATTTTCTTGATTTCATCATAAATGTAACGAAATTTGGCTTCAACTCTTTATTTTCAGATTCCAAACTTCAAGGTGTCCTTAGAATGAGACTTGCTTAATCCTGTTGTTGCCATCAATATTTTTAAGCTTTTCTATGAAGAGGCTGAAAGAGCCAGAAGCTAAATGAAGAATAGCAATATGTTTATGTGCCAAACCAAGATTTTTCAGCCAATCTCATTTAGTGCCCAGTTTAGGGATTGTGAACTTCAGTGATTCCACAGCTGGGCAGGATCACTGTGATCATGGAAGTTGACCAGGCCAAACCTTTTCCCAGAGCTTAACTGAGCCCACAGTTTTGCAATTTGCAAAATAATGGAACCTGATTTCAGCCACGGGATTTTTACAATATTTGGCAACCAGTATATAAAGCCTGGTATTTGTAATTAACTACAGAACAACTAATTAAGTCTTTAATCATCTCTTGAATAAGCTAAATGAACTGAGCTTCTGTGGTCTCAGTCCATGGCACATTTGTCAATTCTTTGATGAGTCCTGTGACTCTTCTCTGATCCCATTGCCAATGATCAATATCTGTACAACTAAAAAAACCAAAGTTAAGGAAAAAGCTTAGAATTAGCTTACAAATAGGGTTCTTTTTTTTCTGTGTTGACTCAAGAGCCTTGTGTTCAACTATTCAGTGATCACACTTTGTTTTCAGCTGTGAGTTCTGGCTGTGGTTCTCCCTAGTATTTCAATAAAATAAAACATAACCTGGAAATGAACAACAGGCCCTTTATAGAGAAATGGTATTCTGCAGACACTTGGTTATAAACCTATCAATATCTACTGCTTGTACCCTCAGGTTAGGATTAAATTAACTTGTTATCACCCCTCTGCACTACAGAGGGCAACAAAAAAATTAAGTTCTCTGCTTGGTAAGAGGACCATTTCCAGACATTGACAAGCTACAAACAAGATTATTATATCCATGTGCAAGGAAAATGCCAGTAACAAACCAGATTTCTGCTGTTGGAATACATTTAAGTGATTTTAAAATGCTGCTTTTTTTTTTTTTTTTTTTTTTTTTTTTTTTTTTTTTTTTTTTTTTTTTTTTTTTTTTAAGTGACAATCTTGGATGGTCTGAATTACACAAAGTAGAAACAGGACAAATCCTTCCTCATACCTACAGAAAATCCCTTTATGAGAGGCCAAGCCAAGATGTAACAAGCCCTTGAACTTTGGCCTTTAACTATAAGCAATCAGCATACAAAATCATTCAATACATCGCATGAGCACATATCACATACCTGAAGGTTCTTTAGTTCTACTGTTCTCACTAACTACTCAGGGTAATTTCCTTCTCCAGAAAAGCACAGTTTCCTGACCTCTATATTCCTTCCTTTTCTTTTTCCTCCTTAGCAATTCTGGAATGAATTAATTTATAGACAGGCTTGATTAAATAAATATTAGCACTTGCACAAAAAAAAAAATGTCATTTGGTATCTTTAGAAGCTTTAAGCATTTTCAAAGTATTTTCAAAATATCCTGCATTAATCATTCCACAACCTTTCAAATACTCTCTAGGAAGATTTATTTTTCATCCCTAGTTTAAGACTATTGTAGGAGTTTTGGCTCCTCAGGATTCTCAAGTCAGAATCCTAACTTTGAAAAGAAGCTGCCATATCCACTGCTTCTCTTACCAGACCAACTTATCTGAATTAATTTGCCTTATTACACAATATCCTTGCATGAATTACCACAATTGCTAGCCTGGAATGTATTAAGAGGAAATCATTTAATGTCCTTTTAGATGTCTTTTAGCATAGTTAAAACACAGAAGAGGAACCAGATAAAGAGATTAGGCAGCTTTCTGCAGACCAATGACAAATATACTGTAGATATTGTTAGGAAACTTTGCTAATTTCTTGCTAAATTTTTCTTTTATTACTGGCTTGAGAAAAATAAACAGATAGGTGCTGCATTAATACAAATTCCTGCTGTCTGATTAAAGGCAAAAGGAAAATGAGTAAATGTATATCTGAGTTTAGTTTGCATTCCAAATGTTTAGACTGAAGTCCATCTGTCCATCCAAGTCCCCCTAATGTTGCTGCTTGCTAGTACAATGTGCACTTATGTCAAATAGGGGAGTAGAAATTATCCCTTCTAAATACTATCTGCAAAATCAGAGCAGAGTTTGTGTATAGAGCTAGAATGGCACACGTGCTGCTAGAAATATTCTCAGAAGTTTGAAGGCATAAATCTAATGAAGTATTTCCCTCCACCTATCCTAAATCTTTCAAAGACAATTCTAAATCTCAGCAAGGATAGAATTAAACTGGTGACAATGTAAGCTCTGTTCAAATGATTTGAGGATTCTGGAAAATAATTCACTGGAATAAACATATTCTGCCACACTCTATGACAGAACTCATGCAAGTCCCATATGCAAATCATTAACCTCATTAAATTGCTAAACTGCCACAAAACAAAAGATATTACAGAACTGTCATACTTAAAGCATTCTTCCATAGAAAATGTCAGTATTATTGCCAACTGGAAAACACAGATAATACACAGTTAATCAACAGCTTCAGTTTTAAGCAAGGGTGTTCTTTCCTTTGGCCAGTGGAATGATGAAACAAAGCAGCTTTCTTACCCTTATTGTACATGTTGGTGGGTACTTGGACGTCACTCAGACTGATGTTCACAGGCAAGTTGTTGAAGTGGTCGTTTGGCACCAGAATGAACTCCTTCCCCAGCTCCAGATAGTTCCCTTCTTCATCTCGTTCATTTATGAGCACAGCATTGAAGTATTCATACTGCAACAGAAACCCACATTCCCTACTCAGAATGCACATTCAGCATGAAAATGAGGTTTGAATGGTTTAGTACATCTATCAATTCACTGAATAACATCTCCAGCTAGAACAGTAGAACAAGAAAATTCTATGCCCTCTCAGATTCCCTCTATACTCTTTGTACAGATACATTTATGAGAACAGATTTATCAATACAGCTCAAGAAAACCCCATATTGTTTCAGTTCTCTGGCTGCCCTGAAAATTTTAAGGGCAGTCCAAGAAAAGCACTGATCATAAACAATATTTATCCTATTTTTAATACAAAGCTTTCTAAATTCAAATATTTTTCTGGATGATTACTTAATTATGAATTCTGTTTAGTTTACTTCCACCAGATCAAGAACTGCTGTCAGTGCTGAACTTAGGCCTTGACAAACTAAAAGTATTTTTACTTCTCAGGAGTATTAACTACAGCTGAAGATGTGTACTCAATGTGTATTCACTGACATTTCCCAAAATTATTTGCTTTATACTGAATTTTGGAAATAGCTGGCTTTCTAAAATATGCATACTTTAATCTGGATGTATAAACTTAATAGTGACTTATTTTGAGCAAGAAATAATTGTCTGCCTGTTAAAGATTCCTGAAAACTATTTGGCCTATTTTGTACAGAACTATAACCAGACAAGCAAAAGCAATTTATATAAATTTTTTGATATCTTTATTACCTGGTTTAACCAGAAATTTTACTAAGCCTTGAAAGCAACAAACAGTACAGCCTATTTTTTAACCTCTTAAATACCTTGAACCTTGGCAATATTTTGTGATGTGCTTCCTAATTGGAAGAGGCCAAGGTTTAGTATTTTTGAAGAATCACATTAATTTAAATATGATTTCCTGCCCTAATATCCATTTGAGAGTAAATGTATATAATTTTTAGACATAAATCTATGTATATTTGAGGATAAATTATTCTGTACTATAATATGCAGCAATATACTGTTCTTCTTGAACTGAACTTAAGGTACATATCATGGAATAATTTCTACAGAAATTCACATATAGACTTGGTAATTTCAAGGATGTAAGTTTTATTTGCCCATGGCTTTTATAATACTTTGTAAATTAAAAGAAAAAAGGATAAATTTCAAATAAGGATGTCAGAATGTACTTGAAATCAACTCTAAACAAGCATTATTTAATTTCATTCTGTGTATTATTTCCTTTTCCAAAGAAGTTAATTAGTAGGCAACATCTTTCATCAAGTTCTATAAGTGGCAAGGCTAGCCAACTACTAAAACTGTTGTATTAAAAAAAAAAAAAAGGGAAAAAAGAAATCACTTATAATTAAGGATATTTAGGACTAACTGTTTCTTCAGTTGATTTAGTATTCATTGATTTATTGGTCTGAGTCTGTATTTTCTCTTCTCAATTCTACCAGTGTATACACAATAATATGATTTATGTTTGGCTATTTTTTTAAAAAAGCAAATTGTAGCATGGAGTAGTCCTTATATTATTGAAGATTGTTAATATTTTCCAGTTTAGTTTTGGTGTTTTTCTGTTTGATTGGGGTGGGGGACTTGTCTTTGACTTGTTGAGGGTTTTTTTGCAAGTGAGTAATCTACAAAAATAGTGTATTTAAGTACTGCAAGTTCTGCGGATTAAACACCAGGTAATGTATGCAGCTCAAAAAAACTACTGAAAAAGATGAGCATTTAAGCAGAGCTGTTATAAAATGGCTTCTTTTGGGCTCTTCCTTTCCAAGGAAATTATTGAGTGTGACAGCTGAAAGGTGATAGAAAGAATATTAAAAATTGAAGAAAAAATATTAAAGTAAATCCATCTGGCATTCTGACACTGCATTGGAGATAAAGCCCAAGGGAAAGAGGATAAAGTCCTGTTTGCTGACAACACAAATACTCTACCTAAGCTCTTAGAGAAAATGACTTCAGTTTAATCTTGTCAGTGGAGGTCAGTCTTTGATATAACCTTAACTAGGTGAGTTCTGAGTATACACCATATAACACACCAGAAAGTTATTAGTCTAATAAGTAACAAGATAATTACCCAGGTTAGGATCTCACTCAGCTCTATGGTGATTTGTCCAACAGATGAGTTTACTCCAACCTTACCTAGAGTCCTGCAGGTGAGTGAGGAAATCTCTTTCATGTCAGCCCTTCTATGAATCATTAGAACTAAAAATCACCTTTTAGACTTTAGTGCATTTCAATTTGCTCAAGAACATTGGGGTTTTTTACTTGTACATTCCTTTGCAGTATCTGCATCATTCTGCATGTTTGACATTTTGAAAGCCCATAGTGTATCCTAATAATAAGATAAGGCAAATAGGAATCTCAGTTTTCAGTTTTATCCCTGTAAAGTTTTCCTAGTGCAAGCCAATAGAAAGGGGTCAGTGCCCAGCAGAACAAGCACTGGACCATTCTGCCCCAGCAGGGAACTGACCATATTTGAGACACCCCAAATAATTCTATTGCTGACAGTCTGCAGGACCCTGGGCTGCTCTGCCATACCCTGCAATCACAGAAGGCAGAGACTTATGGGGCTGCTACAGAACTGATCACAAAATTGCTTTACAACATCATTCATGCTGCCAGGCAGAAACAAGTTTGTTTTAAAACAAAAGATACCTTCAGCCACAATGAAAAAACACATGCTGTCTGCTCACTTAGGATGGCTGCCAAATATTTATGTTGATTATGACAAAAAATAATTTGTTCAGAATATAGAACAGCAAAACCAGGGACATGCAAAGTTTGTGGCCTGCAATAAGAACCACAGGAGTAGGCTAGAGGTGAGAAGTGATCTGCAAGATAAGAAGGAAGCTTCTTCAAAGTTCTCTGTTCCAGTTTAGCCACTTATTTTTGAATGATGTCTCAGCTAAATAAGCACCTTGAAAACAATGGATACTTGTCTGAAACAAAACTTCAGTAATTTAGATGCAGTATTGAAAAGTATTGCACAAATCTCACATAACTGCAGTATTGCACAAGACTGATGTTCTATATTACCTTTTACATTTATCATTCTGTAAGTAGATACCCAGCAATGCCTACATATTTTATCAAGTATTTGTTAACACTGTAAACAGCATATTTATTTAAACATAAATGTTTACTATTAAACTTAAAAGATACATTAAAAAGCAAACTGCCTTTGCAACTTAGAGATTATTTGGCATAAGAGTAAACAAGTAGCACTTGTTATCATGCATTTTAAAATGAAGTGTTTTGGTTCTTAACAGCATGAAAGAATGCAAGCCACAATTTTAGTTTGCCTTTTTTTCCTAAACTATAGAAATTATTTTTACCAAGACAGCAAAAAAAGTCTCATTCACAGAGCAATGAGGACCAGGAGGGTATAAATGGAAATGATTTGCACTAATAAGCTAGCATTAGGGCAATATTTGGATTACACTGATAATTCTTAACTACTCAAGAACCATTTTCCCAGTGTTTCTGTAATTTTGCAGCTCATCTAAAGAGAAAGTTAAATGTATCTGAAAGATATTAGATTAAGGAAAGTTTATGGCATTTGCATTGAGCCTCAAAAGGCTAGAGCATCAGAGAAAATGAAGTAGCAGCAAATAACATGGAAAATTAAGGGGAAAGCAAAACCTACCATGAAATAGCACAGACGGCCAGAAATGCACAGTATCTGAAACATCTACAGTTGCAACAAAATAGTTATCATCAGAGTTTAAACAAAAAAGACAAAAAAGTTTATTTTCTCAAGACTGACAAATAATAGACATCTCTAAGGAGAACAGAAAGGTTCATGAGATCTGAAAAGCAAAATGAGGAAATGTATCCATTCTGAGGGAGGCTGTCCTACTAAGAACACATTGGAGACAGCAATCCCCATTCTGGTACTCAAGTTAAAGAAGAGACAAACATCTGAATGCATATCTGTTTCTAAGGCTCAAAAAATCTCTTCTGGCAATTGTCCAGTAAGGAGAATCTACGTTTTCAAGCATATGATTAAAGCTCTTGTATTCAATAACTTGGTCTGTTTAGCAAGCATAAAAGGTCATAAAAGTAAAGTGCCTCATTCAATAAAAACTTCTGCATTTTAAAAAGCTTTTATGTTTGAGAAAACAGCATCTCTTGTTTTAAGAGAGAATCTTTATAATTTCCAATTATTCTCTGAAGGTTCCTCCTTGCTTCTCTGTAAGAACATCCAGCACTTTTTCCCCTTTTTTATGTCCTTATTTAGCAGCAAGGTGCAAAAAGCACCTGGGATTTGAAAACTTGTCATCAGTTCCACTTTAATTATGGAAGTAGTACAGAAACATTACTGGCATCCTTGAAAAAACAACTGATCTGTTTTCTACCCAATCAAATTAAGATGATCTTCCCCCAGGCTATACATTCCTTCCCAATATGATACCCTATTAAAATTTCCATAAAAGAGGATAAAAAAAATAATATTTCATTATAGTATAAAATCTATTATAGTAGTAAGTTGACAAGACATCAAGGTCTCAGACTTCTAAGGATTAACTAATTCACTAAATGTACAAAGTTATTATAATGACTATTTTAAATCACCCATTAAAGTTAGAAAACATAACTTCAGATGAAGGCTTCTTTTCCTTTACAGATAAATAACTTCAAAAATATTTACTTTTACATGCAATAGTTCTCAAGAATCTCTTATTTGTCACAAGACTGAGCAAAAATTCTTTGGTCACAAAAAATTAGTAAATAAAACACGGAAGGAGAAAACACATGACACCTTGAAAAGCCTTACTGGATATCTATAATTTTTTAGAAGAGCAAATATTCAGTGTGCTCATTTTTATACACATAAGAAACTTCTGAGGAATAATTTCTGCTGAAGACCAAAACAAGTCCCTACTCTGGTGACATGGTAATTTTTCCCTTCTCCCAGTGCGTGTAGGTTTAAAAGATTCCAGTTGCATGGAATAGTGAGTTCAGAGCCAGGGATAGTGGCCCTAGAGATGCAGCAAACCATGGAATAAATGTAATGAAAAT